TAAAATTATCTTAAACACTCAATTAAACATATGGATAAAATGTATTCTTTTAATCTATATTATAAAGTTTGTTAAAATAAAAAATTCTTGAACAGAATTAAAAAGTAAATATACCCTCCCTTTTTCAATCTTTTATATTGATTTTATAAAATATTGAAATCATATTTCGGATGAATATATATTCACATGAATAGCTGAACTATTAATTTTCTTATCCTTGTAATAATTTTAACAATTTCTCTCATGAATGATATACTAAATATCTATTCTTTAAATATCTTTTTTCTTTGCATCTCCAATGAAAACGCAAATAAATTTATATTTTCTATGTATCATTATTACATTATAGCGAAAGAAATATGATTTATATATATACACTATTACCTCCTGTAAGGGACGCCTCTGTTTAAGGGCAATTATATTGGTCTTGGTCTCTTTGAACAGGACCTTAATGTTTACCTTTTATTAAGGGACACTGAAAAAAAAAAAAAAAGCTTAAAAATAAGAGATAGAAAAATCAATAAAAATAGAAATACTCTTAGTTAGAATTAAGGTTTCAAAGGCAAGTTCAGATAATTTTGTGATGTGACAAGTGAGCAATAAAAGGATTAATATTTTTATTTATCAAATTCCTATCATTTTGTCATTAAGATATTAGACAACGGGTTCTCCAATATTTTGCCACACTACAAGAAAAGCATATAGTGCAGGGCGCTCTTCCATATGTAAAGCAGTCATATCTTGTCCAGTCATAAAAAGAGATCACGTAGGAGAGTCCACATTGTTAAAAGGAAAAAACGAACAAGGAAGCAATCGTACCCAGTTAGCATTCTAAAAGTTACAACTACAGCGACACAAGGTGAGTCAGGAACAAGTTGTGGTCTAGAAAAGAGTACATTCCCAGGTCTGCCATTCGAAAGATGCAAAATGATGAGTCATGAAGAAAGCACCTGGAAATCCTAGCTATTTCCAGTTTCGCTTAATAGAATCGCAATTTCAAAAGGAGTTTATGAAGAACAGAAGATCCCTTCTTGGCCAGATAATCATCCGTCTCATTTCCCTCCGTGCCACGGAGGGAATCCACTTGAAGGACACCCTATTAGGAAACTTCTCAGTCTAAAGAAGAAACAGAAATTCCTACATCTTTAGGATACGAGGGCTCCCAACTTCTTTATTAGAAGAAAGAGCCTATACTGCAGAAACAATATCAGAAACGATCACAGCCTTTTTAAAGTACTTTTGTCGTATAAAAAAGTTATTCATTTCATATAAGAATAGCCTCCATCTCTCCATCAAAGTGAATCATGAAGTTTCCAACCAGAAGACGGAAACAAAAAAGTTCCCTGAAGATGGCGAAAAATCAGAAAGAGAAGGGTATAACGTAGCAGGCCTCCTCGTCCTGCAACCTGGGTTATACTAAATCTGCTACAACCGAGCCCTCCAAAAATGGCTAATTTATGCAGTGCAATATAATGAAAGTTAATGTCTCTATTTTGAAAACTGCTTTTAAATAGATAAAAAGGGAATAATACACTAAGATTGTGCAATTAAAAGGATATCTCCCATTCACAGAACACAGAATCCAGCTATTCTTGCTACAACTCTCAGTAGGGAGAATGAAAACATTGTTAGCAAGTTGTAAGAAAATCCAAGACAGCGAGCAAAGGAAACATAAAAGGAGGTGAGATGAGTAACCACCTGCAAAGGACAGGGATCTCACTATGTGGATAGAGTGAAAACTTCTATCATTCTTAATACCAGCTAGGACTGAGGAGCAAAAGAAGTGTAGTTCTGTATTTCTATGTCATCTTTACATACATTATGTAGTATGGCTTCAAAGAAAAAAAGATTAGCATTAAAGCAAAATGTTTATCTGACTTATGTAGCAGGAATTGAAAAGCACAACTTGAGAGATTTAGAGGGAAAATCTAAATAAACCTAAATAAGCCATGTGCTAAAGGCTAAAGAAGAAACAGAAATATTATGAATTACTTATTCAAATGAAAATTTCAAGACTGTTAAATTAAGAAAACCTGAAACATGTGCCATTGATCCAGTAGAATTCAGTTGGTTTTGTTCTGCAAGAGCAAACAATATTCCTGTAGTAGAGTATTATTGCGGAAAAGGCAAAAAGTTTCAGGAAGTCTTAAAACTAGAGAACTTCATTAAATTCTTGGGTAGTTAAATTAAATCAATGATATAACATTATTTTTAAGTCTATTTGTAGTGTGAAAAACTCAATAGATACGCAAGGCACGCTGGATAAAATAGTTAAATGAAATTTGTGAAGGATTTGAGGTTAAATACATCTACAATGCAAACGAAATTGGATTATTTTTTTGAATTTTGCCTAATAAAATTCTATTCCTTAGAACTCAGAAACGTGCTCTGGTAGTAAAAGCTCCAAGGAAACGTCTCCCTGTGCTACTTTGTTAAAACAATGGAAGGAGAGTTTGAGCATTCGCTTCTAATTACACAAGCCAAAAAACCATGATGCTTCAAACACATCAATCCAAACCTAACACTTTACTTTTCATATCAGATTCATTCAAATGATTACTACATATTCTAACAATCTTGTATTGACGATTTTCGCCCTGCAAAGCCATTCTTTCGTCAACTGAATGTTTCTGTATGAAAATTGATGAACTATGACATTTGTGTCTTTCGTATCCTGATACATATTACGGCATATGGCGTCATTTTTTTCATCCTGTTACAAACACTTTCTGAATACAAATTCATTTAAAAAATATCCTGAGCTGTAATTTTCAAGTAAAAGAATCTTTTTTTCTTAATCTAGGAGCTAAAGTTTTAAGCTTTCGCATTGTGAAGTTCTGGTCAGTAGGCGAGGTGGCGAAACCAGTGACATCACTTAATTTTAGCTTAAGCTCATGAATAAATAATTAAGTTATAAATTTAAATAATTATGTTATGAAACTAATGTGCTATCAAAGCAGAAATTGTAGCGTAGGTTCACTGAAATGTCGCTTGCTTAATTTTTAGATGACAGAATTAAAACATGAAAAGGCATTTTAGTAAATGAAAATTAAGTAAATTTCCTTTATTTCTAAGTTGATATACTTTGACTAACGTTGCGTATCTGTCCTAAAAAATAATATGTACTTTATTGAAAAATAAGGGAAAGCCTTACTTATATTTAGCTTTTGATTTCAAGAAGATGTTGTGTCATGCATATAATTGCAATTCTCTTATGAAGAAATGCATGTCTAAGTGTAAATAAATTGTTCTTAATTTGGAAACGTTTTTAATTAGTGAACACACACTGCTGATAGTTAAAGTTGCTGCACTTATGAAAGAGCATGAAATTTACATAAAAGCATGAAATACACAATAAGCATGAAATTTACATAAAAAGTATAACCTGCAGGGTTCTGTAAATGAATTAATTTTTTACGTATATTATAATGGATTTATGATTAAAGTCTTAAAAAATTTGGAAAAAAAATTTTTGTAAAGTAAAAAAAGTGAAACGAAGAAAGTACACTTGTGGGAAAATAAATTATTTTTGTAGCGTAAAATTGTGTTAAAATGTGGAAAAATTAATTTTTAAAAATTAAATGTAAATTTTATATTTGCAAAAATTTATACACATATTGTGCAAAATTAATAAATTTAATTTAGTAAGAGTGAGAAGAAAAAAGAAAACGGTAAAAAATATGCTTCTAATTTTTTAAAAAAAGGAAATTTCAAATATGAGAAAATCTTACATTTTAAACAATAAAGAATAAATTTAAAGTAATAATTTTAAAAGCCAAAATAAGTGTATGTTAACTTTAAGAAATAAACATGCTGACTGGCTTCAACAGAGAATATATTGTTTGCGAGATGGTGACTTATCCTTAAGATATAGTTCCTTAATTGGATGCAATGGAGTACCACTTTTGTGAATTTTGCGTATAGTATATAATCTGGTACTATTCTAGCGGATTGGATAAGCGATTTTCGTAAGTGGGTTATAAAGTAGTTTTAATTCTGAGTTATCTAAAAGTTTTAATTCTGAGAAATCTAAAAGTGAAGGAGCTTTAGGGATCAAATTAAATGGACCTTCGCTTATGAGCATAGCCACAGCAATGAGTTTTATCCATGACGACTATCCAGCCCTTTTCGTCGGCCTTCACTTGAGCATTTAGTGCTGTACAATAGTCAAGTTTTAAAGGTTCGTTAATCTGCGTTTGGCATTTTCTGTCAACATGTAAAACTCAGAAGGCAACAGCAGTAATGAGAGTGATTCAATACATATTGACCATAAGAACAAAATATACTAAAGAAAAAAAGGCACACAAAATTTTTCAGTTATGTGAACTATTTTTCATCCATTAAAATTTAATTTAAGATATTCTTTTTGTCTGAAAGTTTTAATATTGTGCTAATTTAAAGGTTAAACAAATTACTTTAATTACGCTTTCAAGAATAAAAATTTAAAAATCTATTTTTGCAACACCATATGTACGTTTTTCACCACCATACACACCATATACACATCGACGTTGTATAGCAAAACATACTTTTATGAAGTTTTGCGATATTCAGAATGAAATGTTTATGGTAACTCTGAACCTGTAACCTTAATAAACTTCAATAATAATACAATACTCAAATACCTCAAGGCATATATAAATATTATCAGAAACTTATAATTTAATTTATGCATCATATTATTATTAATTCATTAAAAATGTATTTTTAACTTTATCATTAACTAGCACATTCAAGACATAATTAAATAGAGAACTGATTAAATTTAAAACTTGTTTTCAATTTGAGTAATTGAAAACAAGCTTTAAATTTTATTTCCAGTTTTAATGAAACTTAGTGACTAAACTCTAAATTGTGATTTGAGATTTTTATTGCTAGATAATTAGTGCTTCCTGGTCTCCACCCTTTTTCATTGTTTTAGACTCAGATAGAGAAAGGAAATAGTATCTGCTTAATTTCCTGATCATAATGAAGTGACACATTCTCTTTTTAATCTGCAGGATAACCGGACATTTCTAATACCATGGCTAGTCTGCATCTCCATGACAACGTTACTGGATATCTTCTTATCCTTCTACTTTATTGCGGAAGACGTAAGTACTTTTTTTTACTACCTAAACAAAGCGATCTCTTAGACACATAAATTGAATGGCCATACGTCTTAAAAGGCCTTGTCTGAGTGGTCTGTCTTTCTGCATGTATCATTTGAAGTTTCCATTTTCATAACTGTATCACTCTGGTCTTTTAAGCGGTTCTCAAGAAATATTTTCATTTAGTATAGACACTTTTTATACATTAATCATAATATAGTAGCGGAAACGTAAGACCAATTTTATTATTTCACATTAAAATATGTAAATTAAGTACAGCTTAAAACAACTTCTTTAAAAAGAGTATTTAAATGTATGTGGCGAATAGCTCTTAGAGGACACCAAAAAGATAAGGTTGCTGAACACTCAGACCGCTTTAATGACATTTAGCTACTATAGAATCAAAACTGCAGTGGTTGGTTCAAAATTTGAATCTATCCACTTTCAGCTTTATGAAAAAAGTAAGTTTTTGCTTATCATACGTCGGTTTATTACATGATTCATCGGAAGGTAAACGTGCTCAAAACCAATACGATTACTGCTTTTAAGTAAAGTGATAAATTGCTAACGGTAATAAAGTAGATGAAGAAAGTCCTACCGTTATCAGTTACCACTCGCATATCTATGTGTTGCTAGAGTTAACATGCTTGCTTAAAGGTTTATGACTGTACCCTATTGTAAAATAAACTTTCAATTCGTTCTGGATACTCTTGTCAGATTACATATAAGATTTCAAGTTTTGTGTTATTTGTGCAAGTGAAAATGTTGAACGAAAAGATAAGAAAAGAAGCTAACAGGATAATGGAAATTAAATTAGGTGCATGAAATCGGATGGACAAAGGGGAAATTGTAAATAGAATTTCTGTGGATTTAGGTGTTGGATGAGCTACTACAGTAAGATGGAAAACAAAGAGGTTCGAAATCAAGATTGGTGTGTGAAAATTGCAGGTTAGAGTCTTGGGGGAGATGATTCGAAAGAAAGCATGGAAGGTGGCGATTACGAGAAAGTAAGTGAGCTACTTTATTTGTAGTTTAGGCAGCAAAAGAAAAACTTTTATCAGAACCTATTTGACAAGATAAAGCCTCATCAGATAGAGAACTTACATTCACTGCCACTGTCGGTTGCTTGACAAATTGAGAAAGCGCTACGGCAACAGGTCATCAAATGTTTGTAGCAAAAACATCCTTTCAGACTTATAAAATTCAGGAAAACGTTCCACTCATTGTGAAAACTGCTTTATCTATAAATCAGATTTATAAATATGATAAGTCTGGTTTCAAATTTAAATTCTTCATTCGAAAACGCTTTCATCGAAGGAAGAAATACAGACTCTAGGAACAGAAAAGAGTTACTATCCTGACATGCAAAAAACAGTGAAAGTGAATCTGAAATTGCAGATGCAATAATTTTACTGTAAAATTGTACTGTAAAAGTTTCCTTAGATAATAGCTTTGGAAATATTGCTCTTGATGAGTTTGAAATATCATCTTAAGTTATTTAACTGTTCTTGAATCATATAATTTAATTAATTTTAAATTCCATAGCACACTAATGAAAATTTAAGTGCTCTATTCTTAGCCGCAACATAGAATGAGAAGATAAATATAAAACGAAAGTGCATATTTTTTTATCCCGTCATGTTTAATTCCTTTTGTCTTAAGTACTGCTTGCTCAATTGAAGCTGAACAATACATAACAGCTTATATGCATATTAATAATCTTTATTACATTCAAAACTAAACGAAATGCTAGTATGTTTCAAAAGTGTTAGTTATATTATATGTTCCTCAACTAACTGTAAATTATACAAATAAATTTGGACAAAGATTATACCACTTAAAATATGATATCAAAACTAAACATGGCGAAATTTAAGAAACTTAGTCATAGCGTCAAAGTGAAAAGTCGTTTAAGTAGGCCTCATATGTGATGAAACAAATCAAGCTAACCAGCATTGACAACTTCTTCTTGCAAAGTTGACAAGACCGTGTAGAGTCATTAAGTATTTAGAAGCAGGAAACGGGAAATTTTAGCTATGTCCTTCCCGAGACTTGAAATTTAGACCTACCAGTTGCTAACCGGACGTGCTTTCCAATTACATCACAAAGGCAAGCGGTAAGGAGGGAGAAACAAACACCTTACGACCTAACTGCAAATAAAAGAACAAACATGCACACGAATGGCATAAACCTGTCTCTTATGAAAAGAACTTTACAAAATAAGTGATCTTTCCATTTGGCATTTATAATCGGTGCTTCTTTGTTAAAGCGGTCACCATTCATGATCACCTAAACTGCTAATTTAAATAAATCTTTATACTACAAATCTCAAGTTTTGACAAAATGTCGTATTAATTCAGAAGTCAAACAACAAAATTTAGCGTTATATTTACAAAAATTTCGCAGGACTAGTTTCGATGGTTTTACCGAACCACCATCTTCAGCTGCAAAACCGCAAATGAACAAGATAGGAAATAATGATTAGATAAGATAAGAAAAGCCTGGACAAGAATAAGCAAGTGGCGCCATTTGTTGGTGAAACCAGAACTAAAACATAATTTCTTTAAAGGCCGAAGGCAAATTTGGATTGGAATTAGGATCGTCAACTAGAACAGAAAGATTTTTATGAATGTGAAATGCCTCTAGAAAATCCAGTTCTCCAATGAAAGAAGGTTTTTGAATAATTTTGGCAGCAGAAAAATTGAAAGTGTGATTTTCGGGCCAACAATGTTGAGCAACAGAAGACTTCTGTGTTTCCTTTTTTCTAACATATGCCTCATGTTCCTTGACGCGAAATTTTAAAGCTCTCTTAGTTTGGCCAATGTAAATTAAACCACACTGGCAAGGAATCCTATAAATACCCCAGGAATTCATATACGGAATGGGGTCCTTGAGTATGGAACTCGGAATTTAATTGATGGGGGGAATAAAGAACCCGAAAGTTAAATTTCTGCAAAATATGTGCAACTTTATAGCTAATTGATGGAAAGAAGGGAATGACAACAGAATTTTTATAATCTCTTAAAACAAGAGTGTGCCTTTTAGTGTGTTGAGATGAGAATTTTTAACTGCTTGATTAATAATGTTGGGTGAGGTGAAAAGCCCCTGTCAATAGCTATTGCTTTTAAATAATTTAGTTCTTCATCAAGGGCTAGTTTGGAGGAGCAAACTTGAAGAGCAAGGAAAACATAGGAATAAAATGAAGCTAACTTTTGTTTAGTCGGATGACATGATTTAAAGTGTGATGGAAGGCAAACCGATGAAGGTTTACGGTAAACTGTAGTACTAAAGTTGGATGTGTTACGTGTGACCAGAATGTCGAGAAACGGAAGAGAATTGCAAGTCTCAAGTTCAAAAGGAACTGAATAGCAGGATAAATAGAAACTGCAAAGTGAATTGAATAGCAGGCTTATTCTTGTCCAGGCTTTCTTATCATATCTAATCATTATTTCCTATCTTGTTCATTTGCGGTTTTGCAGCTGAAGATGGTGGTTCGGTAAAACCATCGAAAACTAGTCCTGCGAAATTTTTGTAAATATAACGCTAAATTTTGTTGTTTGACTTCTGAATTAATATTTATTCGGCGTGTTATTGTGTCTTAAAATGTCGTATGCTCTGCCCGCTTTATTAAGAAATTATCTAAATTCAATTTTGGTATTACTTTTACATAATGCACTTTTTAATATAATGCATTCATCTTTATTTTACAGTATAATATGATTATTATTTTGTACGCATAAGAAGATCGTATTTTCGTTATACTTAGTTTACTTACTTACCTTAGTTTAGTTCGTTTAGTTAGTTAGTACTTTACTTAGATAGTTTCTTATTATTTTCTGTTCGGCAATTTATTTTAGTAACTCATTTTCATTGCATTCTGCTTGAATTTCAGAATAGTGCCATGCAACATTCTTTAATACATGATTACTTGTTGCAGATTCCAACATCCAGTGCCAGAAACTTCTTAAAATAATAAAGGATGTTAAGATATAAAACACGCCCACGCTTACTTAGCCTTTGGGGCTGAGCGAGCGTGGGTGTGTTTTAATTTTAAGCGTGGGTGTGTCTAATGTAACAACTTGGCGCAAGTGCTTGTCCTTGTAAATTATAATTTAAATAGGTTTCCAATTAAATCTCGTATACTCAGTTAGACGCATTCTTTTATCTGATATACTGGTTAATTAATGAACACAATTTGTCAAATAGTCGTAACTTTGGACAGATTTCTTTTGACAGCAAAATTTCTCTTCAAGAACTATGTTTTAAGGAGTCGGATTAAACTAACTGTTAATTAGAATAAAACTAGCTATCATAATAATAATCTTATTAAAAATATGCATTTAATATAAACAATGACTACGTCAGCCCAAGTCCACGAAATTCTTCGTGGCAAGGAACGTTAGATTATGCCTGCCGTTGGCAACAGCCTTGAGCACCATTCAGGTGACAGCGATTTAGCTCAGTTCAGCCCCCAGTTTTGATGGAGAACACCCCGGTGAAAAGGCTCCAAAGGTCTCCCACCCCTCTCTCCTACCACCCAACCACATGAGAGGACTTTCGGCTTGCCGCATATTTAGAGTGTCGCCATGCCGCACCGACACTATACATTTGCAAGCATCCTTGCCTTCTCCGCGATTCGAACCCAGGCCCTTTGGCACGGCAAGCGAAGCTAACCACTATACCGGTTGGAAAGCTAAACAACAACATGACCTTGCATTTCCTTGAAAATTTGGATAAGTCTGGATTGCATGTTGCACTTTTTAATTTGAAGCAGGATTCCAGATTTACTTCTATAAGACGATTTCTCAATTTTCTTTTAAGATTCATGTTGAAAAAGACTGGTCACGAACATGTAGAGCCAAAACCTGAAAGAACAGCAAATGCTAGTTTTAATAACTCATCAATATGAGTTAAATATACTATTACGTATTCTTTCTCAAGGTTTTTCAAAGCAGGCCATTTTTGTTGCGAACTGAGATGACATATTTTTCCAATTTCTTTTTATCAGCAATAATGAATTCCTTTTTTTAACTCTAGTTTTTGCATTTCAAACGCCTTCAGTGTCAATACTAAGGGAAGAAAACTTCTACTCTGTTGTGTCAACAATGAGAGTTCATTTAGGAAAGGTTAACGTTTCTGTTATTTCTGAATTTCCAAAACATGCGTAGAAAAACTTTCTTCATATTTGAAACTGTCGTTCTGAAATAGTAAATGTCAACTTTTAAGGTATTTCTCAAGCCTTCCTAGCGTGCCTTCGTGGTGTAGTGGTTCTGCACGCTGTGCGGTTATTCCAGTGGTCCGTGGTTCGATTCCCGTCGAAGGCGTTTGCTAATTTTTCATCTTGCCTGCTTCCAAAAATACCTAATGTTTCTACAAACTGACGAATTATTTCCTTGGTGATATTTCAAGGTAGAAAATGAATTAATGTTTCTCTATCAAATCTTGAGCAAAAAGGTATAGCTATTTTTCGAATGAAATGACCTCTTCCAATATCGAAAAATTTTGTATCTTTCCCCCTGTATTTTACAATTAAGATTATTTATACTAGAGCTAACATCTGCCACGAAATAAAATTTTTTGGATCTAGTGATTGTCCGTTAGTTTAAGATAATCAACACCCTTCTCATGGAGCCATGTTTAAACTTTTAATAATAAGGTAGCGAAACGTTTATTTTTGAAATCCAACATACTTTATTATGCAGAAGACCTGCCTATTCATTCTCCATTTGAAATAAAAATTCCTTAAACTAGCAAAGCTGTAGCGGCAATTGTGTTGATAATATTGATCATCAATCTCATAATATTGAATATTTCTTCTTTATGAATGATGTAATGGTAAACAAGTATTCTGTTATCAAATGTTTCCTTCAAAACAGACAAAAAAACCTTTTCTCACTCCGTCATACTTTTCCCCCATCTGTTGGAAATGAAGCAAATTAATTGAGTGGCAAATGGAGCTTTTTCATGATTTCAAAGACAGCATTTGCGATATTTTTTACGGATGTTTAATCGTTTAGTGGCAATATTCCTAAAACTTCTGTTAGGGAAGAAACGTACACGTAGTAAGTCGAACTGAAATTAAACTTCAGTTATTGCATTTATATCGCAAGTGCCGTCTACAGATATTGATTAAGCTGGAATCAATTTAAGATCTTCCATTTGCTCATTGGTTATATTCGAAGACATGTTGACTGTTCTACCTTGCTATTTATTCGATGATCTTCTTCTGAAATGACGTTCAGTTTCGTACTGGATGATCTGGGACGGATATCATCTTTGCAGTGTACTGGTACTGTTTTAACAAAACGGTATCTATTTTAACTATTTAAGTTTTGAAAAATTTCTGCTCTGTTTTTAAAATTCCAAATAGCTTTTCGGATACATTCATAAAACAACTTTTAATGTATTCAACGTCTCTGCATGGTTTGCCTCTCTTAGCACTCTCTCGACTAACAATAAAGCTTGCAGTATTAACACTGTCGGAAGGCTGCATCGAATAATTATATACGGAACTTGATACTTCTTGGTTCTTCTGAAGTTCCTCAACTGGAGGATATTTACTCCCAATTGACGCTTGCTTGTTGTAAAGTATCGTTCCAAATTTTATTTTTTTTTTTAAATGCGCTAATTTTTCTTGACAAATAATACTCATCGGAAGGCTATTGAGTATTGTATAAAAGCTAACAATTCAGTCCATTCAATTTAAACTTACGGTTTTTGTCTACCGTTTTTCTTTGCTTCTTCTTTGTAGCCATGTCAAATAGGTAGCACCTAACATAAAAATACTCAGCTGTTGTTGATATTATTATGGATAAATTTCAAGGCATTGAAATAAAAATATTTTCTCTCTTATTTACAGTTAATGGATAATGAATCTAATAATAGTCTCCGTTTTCTTGTAAGAGTCTAATTTTCCATGTTTTAAAAAGCAAACATATTTACGCATGCCTTAGTGAGTTCAAGAAACGTAAAGCGTCCCCGTTCTGGACGTTTACTAATCAATAACATTCCGGCCACTCAGTTTGCTTCACTATTTCGAATATGCAATCTTGGTCAAACTGCCGTAACGGATTCAGAGCTTAAAGCTGTGACCGAGGATCAATTCCGTAAATAAACCTTCTATTTTTCTGAAGAAACGTTCATTCCGGAGTTTGTCAGCTAAAATCTGTGTGTTGCTAGGCAGATCAAGATTCGTAAGGAAGGCAAATTGGTCGACATAAAGATATGGTCCTGAACTTAACCGCGCCTGATTTGCCTAAAAATATTAAGGATTGATACTTAAATTGTAATTCAAGATGTTATATTCTGATCTTATAATCCGCTTACAGATATCCACATTGTCATCAAGTGAAACGTCCGAAAGAAATGTCAGCTATTATGGGATTCTCATGTCAATAACGAGCTTAACAGTGGTGGATTTGTAACGGAATACCAGATATCAGAAGTGAGGAAGTAATGTTATTTCGTGGTCTTCGAATTGGTGCCCCTCGAATCTCATACAATTATCTTTTGTTGATCGAGAATGAACCTCTTTGTTGAAATTGTGAGAGTATTCTGAGGGTGCGTCAATTTTTAATTGAATGTCCGTATTTCAACAGACTACGGTTTAAGTATTTTAATGTCTCTGTCTTGCCTCTTGACCGCATTATCTGGGAAAACAATTATTTTTTATTTATTTACCTGTAAGTGACAGGTCTTTATTATTTAATTTCATTTTGTTTTCATGTAACTTTTATGCAATTTAATGTCTCTTAAGTTTATTGATTTCACTCCTATTTTGCATTTGATATTAGTATATAAGTTTTATATAACTTTGGATCTTTCATTCATCATCTTATAACTTCATTTGATTTTATAAGTTTGCGGTTGTTTTAAACTTACCTTTGAAAGTATTTTGTATCCAATTCTTCCTGGTATTGTGGGACGGGAAAGTATTTAACATATGTTTGAAGTTTATGATCTCTTCAGGTTGTGCACCATAAAGTCCAGTACCACTACCATTAAAAGGCCTTTGTTTCAAAACCCAATCAGCAATATTCTTTACAAAAGAAACATTTATGCCAACTATAGCCAATGCATAATTTTTTAAGGAACCTTAGTCTTTAAGGAAGTAGAAAAACTTTATTATTTGATCGCCAGTTTCACCTAAAATGAAACTCATAGGTATTTAGTAGGAAAACTTTAGCCATAGGTGGCAGCTCAGCTTTAAAATGCAGCAATCCTATGTACAAAAAAAAAAGTTTTTTTACCTTATTTTAACTTCGTTATTTTCTTTGGAAAGGTAATTTTTAGAAGAAAAACTGCCGCTTTAAATTACGTTATTAGGAGTAGAAGACATTGTTCCAGTAAGTAATTTTTTGGCTTCAAGCTTTTATTTGTATTTTGTGCATAAGGCGTAGTTTATTTCTAGAGATTTTTTTTCTTGTTCACTTAAAATCGATTACTATTTTACAATACTTTCTTTAAATATGTTTTAATTTTTTTGGAAATCTGCTGTATTGTAGGGATGTTATTTCATTAATTTAAAAGAAAACTAAGGTTTTTTTTTACTTTTTAATTAGTAGTTGCATAACAATGGATATCGGAAGTGGCTATTTATTTCAAATTCTTAATATAGACAAACAAATTGAAAATGTCCTGAGACTGTATGCGATTTCCTTTTGTGATTAGGTTTAAAATAAGACTCTATGTATACATACGCTATTTGAAAACTCAATCGAACTAGGCCTAGAGTTTAAACACTTTTGCATATCAGAACTGTGCGCTAAATATCAAGCGAGCTCAAAATACATTGTCTGAATCGATTATTTTTTTCTCCTTTCACATCATTACCTACTGTTGAACAAATAAGTTTCTAGAAGGAAATGTCTTTACACTCAGCGGCTAGTAATTTACGTGCCTTTAAAAATTAAGATATTGGAGAAAACGTCGGAACTAAATAAACTTTCATGTAAAATGAATTGAAGATAATTTAAAATCTGTACTTTTTTAAATGAATCTATACATATGTATGGTGAGGAACACTATTAGGTCTTTTCCGATAGGACAGGATCAAGCACGAGCTGCCCGTTAATGAATAGCCTCACGGAACCTGCTATCACAAACCGTACATGATCTTCCTCTCCCGGGATTTAACATACTGGCTCAGAATTATGCCTACGAACGTAGGAAGTCTGGGGTCCAATAGCAAAATCCTGGCGGTACCAAAGAGCCTGTGTCGGTAACAAAGGGCCTTATCCTAACTTTCGCAGATCTGGGGGATGTATGTACCCAAATTAGGGTATCAGTATTGTAACAGCGCCAGGACCATACAGCCTCCAGATCCACTGTCATCCATATTTTGTGTGAAACCGAGAGGGAGGGGCGGCAGGCGTAGTACTGGTGAGTAGCATTCTTGAAGACAGGTCAGATGTTCAAACTCTTAAGGCAATAGGTCCGAGAAACCGGAGTGGTGACCCCGCTGGTCCGGACCAAGTAGTGCATTACGGATAGCATGAAAGTATATCGCCCGGTAAGTGGGGAACTGGATGGCAGCACATGAGGCTTACAAAGCATCTGTAAGGTGTCTGGACATTTTATATTTAATATTTTATTTACTCCTTCACGGAGCCATTCCTCCTCTTGTGCAGATAACCTTCGAGTGCTTTGCCATAATCAAATAAACCAAAACAAACTAACCTAGACGTACGGATTCCTTTGGCAAAAAAAAAAAAAAAAAATCACGAATGCCCGGAAATGTAGTGACTATATTTTGGGCATTTTCTAGTGCTTAATGGATCCTGCCTAATAAGAGGGATTCCAGACGGATCTAGGAGAAGCGCTGTATCGAGCAAAGTGCTGGATTAATAACCCTTTTCGTGGTTTTCATATGCTATTCCATTAACTTTTCTTGTTTCTTTTTCAGAGTGAAGATCCTTTTCTCGCTATTTTATTTGTTACAGATTTCTTGATATGTGGACTAAATGTAAGCATGCATATTTACTTTTTTCTCCCTTTTTTGGTATAAATACTTATTTCGATTATATATAAAGTGAGAATCTTGACGTAGGTCATTTTCATTTAATAACACATTTTTAAGGGAAATATATTTTTTATACCTGAACAAGTCTTAAAAATGACTAAATCTATTTTCTGTCATAGGCTTAAAAAATTGGGAGTAGTCTCTCGCTTTTAGCTTAAACAGCCACTGGTGTTTAATCCATAGGATTACTAACGGAAGTATGAGAAATATGATACATAATTTAAAATATCTGCAGTTACGTTCCTAGTAAATACTAAATTCAAAAATAAATTTTCAAGCATACTTGGATAGTTATTAAGCGCCATTATTGCGATTTAAATGGTGTTCCATTAAATCAAATGCCTTTTCGGTACTTTTCCGTTTTGCCGGCGCAAACGATAAAGTCGCCAATAATGGTACAACTGATGCCAAACGGAATATCTTCGCTGGTAACCTTTTACGCTTCCTTTTCAAAACAAGTCGCAGCCATTTCTTATCAGATTGTTTTTTTCTTTCAATAATGGCATACAATTACATAGAATTTTTACAAGATAGTTCAATTTTATGCCCTAAGACCATTCTCAGTAATTCAGTCAATTAGGAGGCAATCACACCGCTCACCGGAAAGCGAAAATACAGAAATTCAAAATCAAGGGTTAAATTCATCCATTCTAATGAGAATGCACTAGCGAAGTAAAGCACTACAGTTTTACATAATTTCTGAATAAGCTATTCGTACGAATTGAAATAAGTCTTGCATTTAAACTTGTAATTCCAAGATTTAACTTGAAATTAATGTAGATAAATTACTGAGCGAGAATTAAAGATTTTTGTAGCGTAGTTTACGTGAGATGAGATCACTTGGGGTCACGTGATACGAACCGGCGAATCAGGATGTTGAACCATGAAAGCATAGTAAATTCTTAAATTAATGACTTTTTACAAATTTATTGTCTTTATTTATTATCTTTTTACAAAATTTTAAACCATATTAAAATCAAACCATATCAAAATAAAAAATTCTTAGAACTAACATTTGTTAACATTTAATTTGTGTTTAGTGTATGCTGTCGCCAACAAAGTCTGCTTGGAGAGATTTGCGCCGGCGAAACGGAAAAGTACCGCCTTTTCATTTCGTATAAAATTTAGTAAACATCACTCGAACAAACTGACTGTCTACCAGACTAACTACCTTGCCACTTGGCGAAGTAAAATAAAATACAGCAAACACCAATCGAACACACTGATTGTCTGCGCAAGAATATCTACCAGACGATTTTGCTGCTCGTAGACGGTAGAGGATAGACACGGAGCTTCACCAAATTTCGCTATTTTTGTCGCGTTACTATGCATATACCTTTCGCCTAATTTTTGAATTTTTTTTCTGTTTGCTAATATACTCTTTAATCTGTCGAATTATGTATTTAGATTGATTGTAACGTCTGAAGTTAAGCTTTATAAACATTCGCGCACGCTTCAAATAACGTCTTATTATTTGCTTTCCCATTGGACCATTATGGAGGAAAGTAATCCTACATTAAAATACATCAAAGACAATAAAGGTTTCTAAAGTATCTTGTAAACATTTAGTAAAAATTTCAGCTCTATTCTAAAAGGTACCATTAACTTGTTTATTAATTGCTACATTGATTTATAGTTTATAATTTCGAAATTAATTCTGGTTTCTAATTTCTAATATTCAACATTTTAGCAGTGTTTTCCTAATTCTAATCCTGTTCCTCCACAATGTGAAATATTTTCATGGTACATGCCAATGCAGTTTAATAAAAGCATAATATTCTTTGATGACGAACGAATTCATTTCAATAAAACTGAATAATCAGTTTTGAACAAGGAATTATAAACATTTTTGTAATTGTCATGTAAAAATGTATATGTAAGTTGTCTTTTGATTTAAATCTGATGAAAAGTTGTTCTAAATAGTTACTTGTTCCTATGCTCTTAGCGCGAGGTTTAATTTCGCTTAAAAAAATTGTATGTCACAACTGTGTGTGAGATAAAAGCGTTGAAATAATTTATTAAAATGGTTAAACTTAGTTCCGTTTAATCGAAATGCTAATCTAAACTTAGTTTGCCAGATAAACTTTCATATAGGTTTTAACAAGAAGTGTTACAAAAAGAGATAATGGCAATTAGCAACTTTGAACTGTTCTTAGCATTGTTTTGATTCTTACGAGTATTTAAATCTCTTGTAATTTAAACATTCTACTAGATTAAAAAAATAGTAAAAGTATAGGATAGATTTTAACATAAGGGAAAACTTGTTAATTAAAATATACCTTACAATTAAAGTGTGTCTATGCTTTAATTTTATTTATGTATATAAATTATCATGTTCTAAAATGTTGGCCAACGTTGGTCTCTGCACTGAATAACGAGACACATTTTACATTTTAAATTATTTAATTTTCATCCCAATAAATATTTTTTTCATTAACAAGGTATCCTTCTTACAAAATATTTCATTTGCATAAAAATGAATTAGGATGCAAATAATTAGAATCCTACTGAATTAGGATCCTTTTTATAAATATCGATCTTTTTTATTAAATATTTTTATTAATATGAAAATAAATCTCCTTTTTATAAATCTAAAAATATTTTTCCTTCTGTGTTCCAGGAAAATAGTGTATGACAAAAATGAATTACATATATTGCTTCAGATTAAAAAAATAAATGTTTAAAAATTAAATATTTATTTTTAATTCTTATACTATATTGCCCTGTGAAAAATTATTTAAAAGTATTAACTTAGATTGTTCATCGTTTGAGACTTTTATTATTTCTAGATCTATTAGATATTTTTTTAAATACATCACCTTAAATTATAGTGTAGCTGAATTGCAAAAGATATTTATTGAGTCGCATCTTTATTTTACTCAAGCAATCCGAAGAAGCTATGAGTTTCTATCATACTTACTGATCAATAATTTGTGATTGCTTTCTAGGGTATGAATATGTTATTTAGCAGAACGATAATGGCAATAAAATTCTTTTCTTGAAATTTTGATTAACCCCTTAACTGCTGCGGGCGTATATATACGCCTTGCTCAGCCGATGCGTTAACTGCCCCGGGCGTATATATACGCCCTTCCAAATTACTATCATTAGCTTTGTGCTGCTACCCACAAAAGTATTCGCAAAGCTTTGGAATGCAACACCACAATGACCTTGACAAAGTATGCGAAGAACGATACTATTTCAGAGAAGTGTGGGGAGAAATTAGAGAGAGGGATGTGTCTAAAGAGGTGAAAGTAATTACTGCGCGGTATTAGCTGGTGTTGTTTGAGTAAAATGTTTTTTTTTTTTTTTTTTTTTTTTTTTTTTTTTTTTTTTTTTTTTATTCTGTGTCCCCTGTTTTTGTTTACTTTTTGTAGTAGGTTGCAGGAATAAAGAAATATATAACGAATGTTTCAAACCCATTTATCTTTTTTGAATTATTTTTTGATGAACTGCTCGTGGTTCATATTGTTACTGAAACTAACCGTTTTGTAGACGAGTATATGAGCCAACACCTTGCAAACGAAAAACCAAGAACAAAATCATGGCATTCAAACAGTTCGAAAGAAATATATGGTTTTTTAGGCATACTGATTTCACAAGGAATAACACTGAAGCCTGATATTACACTTTACTGGTCTAAAAATGATTTGATCGAAACTCCATTTCAGGGATATTTTTTATTATAAAAACATCATTTTTATTACACTTACATTTCTTTATTATACTTTTACTCAAAGTATTAAATTTTGTGATTCATTTTTTTCTTTTATTCTTTAATTTGTGAAACTAAACAGTTTTTAGAAAGTAAAACTTGCACTTATTTTTCTAATACATCGCATAACTACGCGCGCCTGTGTGAAAAACCGTGGCACTGGGAAATGAATCTTGTAAGTTTTCCTCGGCAGTTAAGGGTTAATGCCCCATCCTCAGAGATGACACTTTGCTGAAATCTCTTTTATCTTTGCTGAAATCAACAACCAAGGAGTTTTACATGATGTTAGATTTGAATAAATTTGCATGTATAATAAATTGACAAGTTTTAAGATAACTTCGTGCTTTTATCTTTAAAAGACGTATTTGATAAAAAGTACTCTCTGTATGTATTATATATATCTATGTATATATGGATGTATAAGCACATTATATATATAAGAGCAAGAAAAAATACAGGCATGCGTGTAAAGTGAAACAAAACGGTGAAACTGAAACTCCTTATGAAAATATATTTTGTTATCTAAAACCGCACCAATCCATTGAATTAATTTTATTATTAGCACGAATGCAAATATTACATTGGAATTACATTTAATCAGATAAATTCATTTATTTAAAATATTTCGCATTTAACCAGGTGTGTTCACAAACACGGCTGTATTAAAGCAGTTAAACTGTGGAATAAAAGGTAAATTTGTCTTTATGAACTATTATCTGAATGTACTATATGAACTAATTCTCCATAAAAATATTAGAACATTAATACATTGCAAGTATTATAATTTTTGTACTATATTTACCATTTAAGAGAGCATGATTTCTATTTAACGCTGAAGAATGAAAATATAAATTTTTCTTACTTATTTGCAGGAAATTTAAATTGATAATTAACTTTAGTTACCTATAATGATTTTTTTTCTTCTGGACTTATTATATTTCTCTGCCTTGTATATTATATTCTCTGCCTTTTTGAAGAATATTTTTCCATAAGACTGTGATGACTCCTTTAGGACTATTTAGTGATGCCCATATTATCTGTTTTAAACATTGCTCATCAGTTTTAACGTTAAGACATAAAGCATCATCACGTATCTTGATAACCTAATATTTCGCTGATAAATTACTTCACTTACCGCTGCAGAAGCTTATTAAAAAAAAGTTTTCTCTAAGCCAGATTATGGACATTCTTTCTAAACCTGATCAGGATTCCTGTGCAGTAACGTAATATGTGCATCTGTGTTAGTCCCCTTTCTAACACCAATGCATACGAACAGTCACATTAGTATTTTGAGTACAGCACGCATGCTTCGCGACATTAAAATAATGCTAAATTATTCATATGAAGAGGCTCCGCTCAACTACTCCGCTCTCTTTATTAAAAGTTAAAATTACAGCGTAGAATTAAAATAATAATAAAATACAATGAGAAGCTGTAAAAGAAATTTACAGATACATTGTATAGTGATCTACGATGCTTTGGCTACCTTAACAGCGAAGGTATAACCCGATGTTTACATGAAGTTCAAAAAAATGCCATACTGGAATTTACAATGCATAAAGCTGAATTAGCTAATTATAAAGCTAATTATAAAGTCTATTATATAGCTAATTATAAAGTCGTTCTGTTTGTTAACTATTCCCTTTTCATGCTTTTATTGTTGGATGGGAATTTTGCCATCGTGTCCAGAGATGGAAATGAAGATGGAAGGAAGGCTTCTTCTCTGTCTTTGGAAGTGCTTGAACATGACGATATATAATCGTTGCTCGTGCTAATTCCCCTCTGGTGTCACAAGTGCGTCTCACTTGTGACTGTGGAAATTTCCCATGTCTGGTGAGGACTTGATAAAGGATGTGATCTTAAAATAGCCTTGCTATTGAAAAGTTTAGTACGAAGACGTATGTTGAGCATCCAGTTGTTTCGTCGTCCTATCTATCTTGCCAGGTGCAGAGAGGTTATGTAAGACTTGGTGCTTCGCTGTGTTTCTCGATAATGGAACCTCGAGGTCTGTCAATTCTAACTGCGTTGACCGTTTGGTCTCTTCATCCGCCCGCTCATTTCCCAACTAGCCAGTATGCGGTTTTAGCCTATTTAACTCTGTTTGAAAAGGATTCCTTAACGTTTCAATTGATTCTATTCGACTGAGAATACTTGGTTCGTCCTTTTTACTCTTATACTTCAGCTTGGTACACTGTGGCTGTATCGTTTATTCTGAAGGTCTCTGAATATTCTTCTTATCCATCCTTACATAGAACAAAAGCTGTTCCCACTTTGTTGTCCGTTTTTGATCCATATGTGAGACCCTTGATGTTAGCATTCTTGTGCCATGGGATTGTATCTTGGAGCGTATGCACAGCTGGAATTCTTTCTTTGAATGTAAATTATCAGGTGTATTTCCAGATTTTCTTTAAAGTTAAATAAGAAAGAATGTTTTGGCTTATGGTAATAATTTACCCAGTGTTTAAACTCCATTTTCTATGAACTGTGGCATCCTTCCAAAATAAGTCTTGAATGTTCGTCCACGTTTCTTCAAACGCCCGAGTACAAGCATCAGTCACGCTTTTAGAATATCTGTTTATTGGAAATCTATCATTTTAGCCTATTTTCCACGCGAGTCAACTTCTTATAACCAGCTAAATGAAATATGGAACTGTGGGGGGAAACCATTCGTTATCTTAGCCTTAGTTGTTGCCAAAAAATAAATTTGAGACTTTGATTTAATATGCAACAGTGTAGGTAAGCTGGAGAAATCACATGTTATCGTTGAACACGGAGAGATGTTTTCGAGAGAAAGAAAAACTTTGGGAAGGCAGTCTTTGGTACTCCACTTTGCCATTACCATCTTCTACGTTATCAGTTCCACACGCTTCACAACTTCTTTGCTGTTGAAGAAAATGGCTATTATTCTGTTTTACACAACCTACGGTTTTCTGATAATCAGGGGAGAAGTTTGATCTTTTAACATGAAAAAATTTTTACGCAGATATTGTTTCCGACTGTATAGGATATGACGTACGCCAGGTTGCGTCCCCTAACAAAACAACAAATCAAGAGTGTTCAAAAGCTGTTTAAGCAGCCTGAATATATTTTTTTCACCCTTTTAATGAAGCTAAAATATTTTACAGATATACTGCCTACTGGTTGTTATATCGCAGTACCAGGAGTATGCAGCTGGAAGAGGCAGACCAGAAGACTGCATAAGAATGGAGGTATATTAAACATTATTATAACTGATATTGAAATGTACATTTCTCGTCTGTGCACTCGTTTAGAAACCTCTGATACTTAGAAAACTCGATAATAGTATTTGTTAACATTTAAACGTAAACCATTATTTTTATAAATTATTTCATTACAGTATTGGTATTAATGATAACGCTAAATAAAACCATTTGTTAAGTTTGCGAATTTTCAAACAGTTATTTTTACGTTTTAATTTTCCATGTCCACTTCATATTTCGTGTGCATGAACTCAGCCTATTCCAGAAAAATGTGTTTCACCAATTTCTTAGTGCATAAGGTCGCTAAACACTGGTACTTTCTTTGTCTTGTATTAGCTTCACAAAGGATGGACCTTGCTCTACAGTGTCTTATGAGTAGCATTAATATGTTTCATTATAAGTAACATAAATATGAGTTAGAATTCTCAAGAACGTTGTTTATGGAAGCATGCTTTTTAAAGCGGCTAGATCTCGAGCGTTGTTTCATAACAAATTTACCATCCAGAAAAAAGTATAAACAAATATTATTAGGAAGTTAAAAATGAGCCTAGAGAGACGCATATTAGCTGTATCTAACTTATGTGTTAACTGTCAATCGAAATGCTAAGACTTGAGAGAATTATTATAAATGATAAATTCTTAAGTCATGACAGTAACTCGTAGCTCAATATCGCCAACTACCATGTATATTCCAAAAAATGTTGAAATACTATTTTAGAAAATTCATGTTAAGTTGTTACTCTCTCAGCGTTATGGACCTAAAACTCAGTATGGAAGGGTGACTTTAGTATTCATTTACACATGAAAATTTCTGCTAGATTTTAATATATTCGATTTCGGGTTGGATAAATATTAGAAGAAAAGAAATCAGAGTGAAAAGTGGGAGAGTCATTTTCAAAGGAAATACTATTTAATCGTAATCAATGAAATACTATTTATTCATGGCATTTTGAGGAACTTTGAAATTTGAGGGCTAAACCCATAGCGTTCGGAAGGTTATGCTGTGTTTTAATTGCGCCGAAGCCGCCCATACCAGGTCCCAAGTACTTCTTGGGTTTTGAGATATATCGTAATTCTAGAATCGTTAATGAAATTAAATGAAAATTTAAGCAGAAAATTCTTTCAATCTCATGTTTAAGGTTTTAGAAATAAAGGAGACTGAAAATTAACACTAACGGCTAAAAGTATATGTATATTTTCTTGAGCATCAAACTCACGGATGCAAGTTTAGATGTTTAAGAAAAGGAAAGCCTCCATTTGTATGTTAAAACCTTTTATTTTTCAGTGCGAACAATAAATTTACGACAGCGAATTTGGAACTGATAAATTATTAGTGATCACAATTATAATGCCGTCTAACTTCTGATTCAGTATCGGGGTTTTAATTATAGGTGATCAGAATTGGTACTGGAACTCTCGTTTCAGTGCCCTCCAAATTATATAACAGACATGGAGAAATGCTAAAACAAATACTTTCAGGAAAACTAATGGCGTTTTCCTGAAAACAGCACTTTCTGATTATTTATACTGACGTTACTAAATATGGAGAATGCAAATAGTCAATTATACAGAATTTTGCGCTCTTTCTTAGCCCACTTTTGAAATCAGAGGCCTTTCGCCCACCCTGTCAGAAATTGTGCTTCTTAGTGGTATCGTAGTCAAAGAGTGTTTGAATCCTCTTTCGTTGTTTGTTTAAACTGTTAAAAGTTTCTCGAATATTCTCATACTATTTCTAGTATTCTGACCATTCTCACCTGTTAACCATCTTACCTTTATTTTTCATCGAATAAAAAGAATGTTTTTTTTTTTATAGTATCTTTCTAAAATGGTACATTATATTCTCCGATCAGGGTTTAAAATCAAAAGAAGCTCGGTTTCGATACTACACAGTTGTTGAGTGAAATTACAATATTACCAGAACCCAAATAAGAGGAGATCCGGTTTATATTTTGTTATTAATTTAATTTATTAATTTATGTTTATCTCTTTATATTTTATTCAAATATGAATTTAATTAATTTATTTTTGGTAATTTTCTTGATGTTTTTCCGTAGGATTCTGGCACTTTAAAAAAATTAAAACTTAATGCAGAAACCACTAACCAACAGTTGCTTAGTTATAGTAATTTCAGTTTCTGTTTCTAACCGTCCAATTAGTGACAAATTGATTTTAATATATTTTTCATTTAGTCAAAGCAGTATTTATGTGTCAAGCAACATAATATTGTTATAATAATATAGTTTATAATAATATAGTTTTTTGAAGTTTTAGACTTTAAAAGGAACGTAAAAGCGTAGACAATAAGTTTAAACAGATATTTTTTTAATTATTAAACAGTATAAATATTAAAATCTTATTTTAAAGTATAGATTAACTTTTTTTACTATTATTTTTTCTATTGTTTTATTTACATCTGTTTCGTTACTTAAATTTGCGTACGGCAGCGTTTTTATCGTTTGAAAGCTGTTTACATTCTTTTCGCGATATCGCTGTAATTAGTTTATCGCTATAGTTAGCCCGACCCCACTACCAAAATGAAAAAAGAGACGCATTCTACTCTGCGATATCATTTCATCTATTATAAACAGGTTTATTTTCTTAAGTATTGTTTCACATATGTGTATCAAATAGTTTCCTCGTAAGTGTAAGACAAATTATTTTATGAAACTTATTTAATAAGTATGAAGCAACTAGGGTTAGAGTAGAGTTTAAGGTACCCCTTGTATTATGGCGAAGTTGTTTTATTTATCGCCAAATTGTTGTTTCATTTGTGGTAGCCTGAGTAGTTGAATGTTATGGAAACCATACTGTGACGTAATCGGGTGCATGATTCTGGGGAAATTTGAATCATGGGATGTTTTGTAAGCGCTTTTGTGGTGTGTGTTGGTTTTATTGTTAAGACGGTAGAATGGCTGAAATGTAGTAGGATTAATTTGAAGTTTCTGTACGATTTGGAACGAAAGGGGGAAAAGAGCGTTGACTGTGTAAATGAAGGTTTACTTAGTAGCCATTATAAGTGTCCTGTATGTAGGAAGGATATGCGTCTAGTCGAACGTAAAAAACCGTTTAGATGGATTTGAAAGGGTTTGTAGGAAGAAAGGTTCAGATGTGGCGACGCCGATATACGGATTCGAGTTCAGGAATTTTAGGAAGTTTTTGGATGCTAAAAATTTGATAGCTGTAGGTACCGTCGTTTTCCACAATGCGATGACGATACATATACACATACAGCTTCCTCATTACTTAATTTCTTTATAATGCAAGGCGATAGAAACATGATACGACGGTTTATAGTGCACGGCACAAAATCCCGTTTTGAAACTAATAGCCCATTTGGGCCAACGCAATTTTGGGCTTATAAATTAAGTTACTTAATTTTTTCCTTAGAGTATGGCTAAGTAAATATTTTAGAATAAAGTGTTTATTTGTAGGACAATTTACTAAATAAGGAAACTTTTGCAGCATGAAAATGGTGAAACTGGATCAGCCTTAAATGCATACCTCGTTCATAAGTGCTATATTAATAGACAGGTGGAGTAATTTTCATTTCACTCCCATTTCCGAATAGTCATTTTAACTAAATCCAGAAACCAATCGATATGTATTTCAGTTTTTCTATATTTTCTTTACACTGCTGCTCATTAACATTGCTATACTAAATGACGGTATACAGCAAACGTCAAATTTTCATGGAAGGATAGCATGCTGAGGTATACATATGATTAGCATTTCAACGCATGCACACAAAGCAGATATTCCGAGGCATTCCTGCTGGTGTTGGTCGGGATTCCATGACTGTCAACTGAATAGAGAATTGCTAAAACCAGGAGACCATGTTGAAAGCCTTGCAGGATCTTAGCGACCCTGTGCCACAAACGTCCGTGTAGACAGGTATGTCTTTCTCTAAAGATTTAGTTTGATGAGGTTGTTGTTAGAAAACCAATTGAAAGACCTTTAAAATCTTGAACTTCAGTAAAATTGATGCATTCTTTTGCGGATGCATGGGAGGTGTGTTAAATATAAGTTTATGATTATGTATTCTCAGTGTTTATTTGTAAAAGAAACTGTGACATCATATTTGTGTACATGTAATAGTTCGCCTTTGGTGTTTGTAAATGTATTCTGTATAGAATATCGCTCTTTGTTTATTATTTTAAATTCGATCCAGTCTGATTTATTAGAGATTTATACATGTTCTTTACTTAAGAACAAAGCCTAGCTTATGCTACTTATAATAGCTAAGCTCCAGTCCAAATGATACTTTACTGACTCTAAAGATAAGAATCAGGTCACTTTAGGTATCGGCTTTTATCGGATAACTTTCGTCTAAAGATTTGTTGACGTATTTGAAGCCAAAAATTAATCTTTGTGTCGTTTGATTGAAAATATTTTAGTGATTACATGAATTAATGATGAGATATCCTCTGTAATTTTCATGTACAACATCTGGAAATATTTTCAGCCTCAACCTGAAGTTCGCTGCATGAGATTTAACTGGCCTTCATTCCAAGTGCTAAATCAAGAGCAGCTAGAAGCTACCGAAGCGGCAGCTAAAGCCGAATCACAAACGGACGCTTTCCTTAATGTGCCAGGACAGAGTTCGACAAGGATTGAATGCCACAATTCCCATGACTCAGTCGGTTCCACCGCTAGTACGAGACTCATTGTGGAAATATGCCGTAACGATTCATTCAGTGGTCGTGTCTCTAAAAATTATAGTTCATTTATTTTTCAGAATGAATTTTATTATTTTGCTTGCATTTATATTGCTGTCTTACCTGAAATGTTATTATCTGTTTTATTCCTTATTAAAACTAGTACTTTTATTTACTTTCTACTGAAGTTATATTTAGTAGTACATTATGAGAGTATTGTGCATGTAAAATATAGTAATTTATAATTTAATTATTATTTTTAGCATGGATTTGGAATGTATTTCTTACTTGAAAGCCTCAGAGGTACAATTTAAATGTGTGAATTCCTTCAAAGATTCGAAATGGATGGTTAGTTTTTGTAGCATGATATAGATATGAATGTTTTCCATGATGTAGTTGGATATGTGTAACCTATGTTTTCGTATGCTGTCTGTAGTTATTGAAATTAAGGAATTAAATAATAAACATTATCTTCTATCATTTAAATGCTTTAAACTTTTAACGTTCAATTGAGCCAATTAGGCATTGTAAATCAAATCAAGGTACAGTTATTTCTTCTTTCCAGAAATTAGTATGAATTAAAATTTCTTATGAAACTATGATGGAATTTCATTTAATGATAAGATCAAGACGACCTCTACAATAAATTTAATTTTAATGTTTAAAAATGAGTTTTCAAAAGAAATTATGTGCTTCCAGCTAGCCACGCATTACTAATATATGTAATGCAGTAAAATAGTATGAGCACGTGAGAAATCAATTGACGTTTCTAAAACTCATGCGAAGTGTATGATTTGCTGTAACGGTGCAGTTTTTACAGAATTCAGGGATTGAAATTTTAAAAAATATGAATCTCTATGGCTAAATTTAAAAAAATAATTTAAATGATATATTTTAAATTTAGCCGTGAGAGCTGTATAAATATACATCTTACGTTTTATTTTTTTTTCTTTCACAGAAAATACCCCTAGCGTTCGTTCAGCTGAAACGGAGGAATTACCAGGTGGTGTCTGAATAGAGGAAAATGAAATCCCTGTCGGGCAGCAATAGATTAACAGCATTGCACAATCTATATCACATCCAGTGATTGAAGGACTTGACATCTTTCAAGTGATATCTTTGAGCTAATAATGTTTTCTTCCGGATTACATGGTTTCAGTATTTTCGGAAAAACTCGATATGTAACTGCTTTCCTTAATGGAATTTCCCTTTGTCTGTCATTATGATCAGAGTTGCATTGATTTTGATACATTGATGAATCCCTTTGAAGGAGAATTTCTTGTAAATGATTTTGCAATTAATAAATATTCACTTTTTTAATATATATATATTCAAATCCGTTCAAGTACCAAGCATTCTAATGAAGAAAATAGCAATGTGAGAATGTGCTCCCAGTATTTTATATTTGTTTTTACTAGTTATAAGTTAGCATTTTGAAACTTATTCTATAAATCTTTTATGTAAAATAATTAAGATAAAATAAAAGTACTTTTGGTACATAATTTTACCTCTCATCTGTGCATCATGACTTGTTTCCTACTTGTTGAATTTTCCATCTTTAAATTTTACTTAAACGCGAAAACTTCTAACACCTGCCATACATATCAACAAATTTATATCATCTATTTGGGAATAAAACTACTGTGTTTATTCCTGAAATACTAGAATAATAAATTCTGATTCTGAAACTTTTATTACACTAACAAGAATGTCACGTGGGTCAAAATAGACAATGTAACTCAATTTTAAGTGTAATTTAGGATTAATAATGTGAAATTTTCTATCACTTTTCATTTTGCAGTTAATCATTGAAGCCTCTTTCACACTTGAGTGTAGCCAAGAAAATGAAATGCATGCAAAAAATAACCTGCATGTGCAATAAGGTTTATCTTATAATAATGATTCATATAATAATGAACATTTCATTATTGGTTATCAAACACAGTTTAGAAACAGCGCAAAAATCTTTGGACTAAAAAGTATAAGTATAATACAAAGAAAAGGAATATTCATGAAATTTTCTAAAAGCCCTTTATCAGAATTTAATTTTCCATCACTGTGTAATCAAACAAAGCACTAATGGAATTTACACTGGACTCAAAAATGTCTCCCTGTTACCATTAAATATGGAAAGTTTCAAACACACAAAAGAGATTGGCTGAGGAAAATATAGATGGTATAATGAATTAAAGAGAAATTGGGTTACCAATGTGTTGCTGCAGAATGGAGGTTGTTTACAGATTTTTCTTCGCTGAGCCCAAAAGCAGTGTTGATTCTCAATATTAACTAAAACATTTATAAAAAATAAGGTTTCATTTGTTGGTATGACATAAAGACAAGTACGTCGTACTTACATTGTGAAAGAGTGGCCACCAATAAAATGTTTTGCGCAAGGGCAGCTTTATGTTAGATATGATCTCTTATGGAATTTATGAAATGTACTTCTACCACATTTGCATACATTAGATTTAGTTATAAGCACTTTTTTGCAATATTTTAGTATTTCCCTCTTTAAACGCACTTTTTAGTTTCCTAGAGAATGTTTTGGGCTTTTTTGCTGCTCCAGAGCATTTTGAGGCAAATCCTAGTAATCAAACTGGAAAATTTTGGTCATTCTTGAAATAAAAGTGTGTTAATTACTATGAAATTATTTTTACTAGGCCATTCATGTCATATCCGCAGAAAACTGATTATGTATCATGTTAGTTTCATATATCACGATAGCAGTGTATTTACTTTCTTTGCTGCTAATTATTTAAATGCAATTACCTATATTCAGTTAATAAATTTGATTAATACTCAGTGCCATTATTACTCCGACTTATAAGGTATGAGTATCACTTCTAAGAATTTTCCCATACCAGCATTCCTTAGTTGTTTAAGACATTGTGTGCATGTTCAATTTTCTAGGATTACATGTGGAGGCGGGGAAAGTTATTGCTAGACACATTCTTTGGATTCTACACTCGTATCTCCGTGGGATACGTTTTGCTGCCTCAATAAAATCCCTTTTATTTACTTCTTTTGCTCAAGTGGCATCACTCGTCGGCAGTAAGTTGACGAATGGCTTTCGATCTTGATATTTTTAAAAAGGAGAATATCCGATTAGAAAAGTCATAAACGCAAAAGACGTGTGCCAACCGTACATTTTTCGCCAAACGATTTCTTTGCCTCGAATATATCACCGAAATGGTCAATGCTTTTTTTAAATTTTATAATCTCCGCTCTATATGCATTGTTGAAATCTTTTTTGGATGGAGAAAAAAATTTGCTTATATGTGCGAAACACCGATAAAGTAAATTACGTTGGCGAATTCATTTTTAAAAAGGCCAAAAAGGAAGTTTTAAATACTTCATTTGCTAAATTCAGTACAATTTTTACTAAAAACAGTGGCTTTTAAATTATGTGAAAATATTCCACATCTTGACAATAGAAATATTTTAAACTGAAGATAAGTGAGGTAACCTTTTTCAAGTAAGCTCCAATAACTGCTGCACTTCTGGTACAGAGACACTTTTTACGATGTAAAAACTTGTATACTGGCAACAGGAGATCTTTCGCTTTCGAAAACGTCAAGAAGCACTTAATAATTCAGCGCATTACATTCAGCGTATTACATTTGTGTAACTTTGAAATTTGGAAGAAAAACGCAAGTGGCAGTTATGTGTAATTGTTTGAGATTTAAAGCAGCTGTCATTTACTCTATTATTATTATTACTTTTTTTCAATTTTGAGGGGTTTTTTTTTTATTTATTTTTTTTTTTTTTATTTATTTTTTTTTTTTTATTAAAGCAAGCTGCAAACCAATAACAGAGGAGCATATCTGAAATTTGTTTCATTTGATGCTTTGACATACAGAAGTATTTTCTCCGAATAATGCATAAGACTGAAACTTTTATTCTCATGTTGCATTTGATTAAAAAAATTTCTGTTTCACCAGATGCTTCCTTGAAGATGGTGCAATTTTCACAAACACAAACGTACATCAGAATCAGAGTAAGTCTTAAAATAAAAAAGTGTTCATAAAAATGAAATGCTTCCTTCTAATAAACGTTTTGAGCATACATTAATATTCAATTTTGTAAGCATATCACAGTACAAAATTGTCTACAGGTAAATAATTAAAATCTTCTATTTATGATGTCAAAATAATATTTTGAACTACATAATTAATTAATATTATTTTGACAATGTCGCAACAAAGTGAGAGAAATTGTATAACACTGTAAATTGTAATACAATTTTGTTGATTCATAGGACACCTTCTTCTACTGTCCATGCGAATAAAAAAATAGATTCATATTTATTCCTGAAATTTCAATATGCGTATAAGTTTTTTTTATTCCATAATATTCTATTATAATAACAATTGCGAACTACACGTGTTTGAACCGATGATAAACATCCGCATCTTTATCTTATCAAGTGTCTTCATCTATACATTCTGGGAAGAATAAAATCAACATGAAACCTCACTATATGAAGAAATAAAAATCCATTCTTCTGTGCGCATCAAGTACGCCTGAAGAATGAACGCAAATGTTAGAAATGTAGAATCTAGATAAATTTTCATATTTTCATGCTTCAAGTTTTAGTTCTAATCCACAATATTTGGCTATGAAATTCCGGATAAATTGTTCTGATGTTAAAATTCATAATAAAATTTAAGCCGCAGAGTTTCAAGAAAACGGAAGTTTTTATGTCTAAGAAATTATTGCAGATTGTTAGGTTAATTACGTTTCTCAAAATCAGCGTATAAAATTTCGAAGTTCGAAATAATTTATTTACTGTAATATATCTTAATAAATTTCACTTCATACTAAGAGAAATAAGAAGAAGAGACACTTCTACTCCTGGAATCATATCAACATTTTTTCCCTCTGCATTTTCTGCATATTATTTGTTACGTTGATGATTTGAGATGGCAAATTCTCATCGTTCCGCAATAAATAAACCTGTCCTTATTTTCAGTCAGAGCCCCAAAATTTCATTTCATCCTTGGTTAATCAGGAGTTGATTGTATGTACAAGATTCCATTTTGATGCGTTATTAATAATTAAAGATACATTTTCTTGTTAAAGATAACATATTAATGAAGTATAAAATGGCATATTTCCAGATGCCGCTTTATCTCTGATTCCATTAGTCATGATTGTACTGCATTTTAGCATATCTTATAAGAAATTACTGCACTCTTCATGCGTGTTCCTTTGTGTAAATGGTTAAGACCCCTATTTTAAGAATGGAAAATAGGTAACTTGAATCCAGGAAACAGCGCAGTTTATTTATTATGTTTTCTACTTTGAAAAATTTCATATCTGTTCAGGTATGACAGAATTAAAATATTATGTTTTTTGGATCTGGATTTCGTCAAATGGGTTTTATTCTTCTCTGTGATCGCCCTTTAAGTGGGAAAGAATGAACAAAATTAACGCACTTCGCGTGTATGTTCTCAGAACTTTAAGTAGAAGATCAATGGCATGTCCAACTAGGAAATTTATGTAAGTTAGGTTACTAGAAAATTGCCAAGCATACGAAGGCTATTTTCTTGGGGAAGCAATGCCTTCGTGGAGGGCGTTTTACTGGAAATTGGTAGTAACCACGTTTCATTTGGGAAAATCCACGAAGACCAATTATGCTGCCACCTTTTTTGCCTGATAGAAACTTCGGGTCGAATTCCCAGAATTCAGTAGTATTAATCATTCGAGATCTGTTGGGACACTACCAAATGAAAGATCATAGTTCGAATACCGGCAAAGGTACAGTTCATGTTACCTTTATCGTGTTTTCAGCTTTGGGAAAACCTAACAGTTCCTAACGATAATCTTTCCAGTTCGCTCAGCTGCAGCCGTATTTACATTATGCCATATCCATAAGGTTAAAATCTGTACGTAAAAATGCTGAACAGGTTCTTAGATGTAGATAAGAATTAATTACAATTAAAAATGTATGCGAAGTTGTTTTTTATTCAAATTAAAACCACATTTTGTTTAACAGAAACGGTACAACAACTTTCACCAAGATTATAAGGAATAAAGTGTCACGAAAGAAAGAATATTGAATATGTGCCTCAAATGATGGATTGTTGACTGAGCATTCTGTCAAATAAGATTATGCTAGAGTTTTCCGAGTGCTAGAAAGCTTTATTTTCGAAATACATAGAGAAATCATATTTTAAAAGGGAAAAAATTCCTACACGTCTGATCAAATGAAAACAAAAATAGGAAACAAGAATCAAAGATTAGAGTTTCAGGAAAACTGAATAAGAATAAGAGAAAAGGGGGACCAAATTTTTAATATAGCTGACTAAATTTCCTCAGAAATGAAATTGCGGATTATAGAGTAGAAAGGAAAGTTGTTTCAAGAGGGAAACATTTAGAGAAGCCAATTGCTCCTGTAAGCAGAATACGGCAAAGGTATGAGAAGGAGATCAGAGCAAATACTACAGGGAAGTAAGATGAGAACAGATATTTAACAGCATTCTTATTTCGTTCAGAAAAT